TTGGAGACTTGGAGAGAAGCATTTGAATCTAAAGGATTTAGGATAAACAAAACTAAGACAGAGTATATGGAGTGTAGTTTTAGTAACAGTAACAATGGAAGTAGAGGAGAAGTGAAGATTGAGAATCAAGAACTACCTAAGAGTGAATATTTTTGTTATTTAGAATCGATTATTACAACAACTGGGAAGATTGGAGAGAATGTGGTCCATAAAATTAAGGCGAAGTGGCTTAAGTGGAGAAGTGCGTCTTTACTGTATGATAAACGAGTACCTACTAGACTAAAAGGGAAGTTCTATAAAATGACTATTAGACCCAGTGTTGTGAAAAGCGCGCCTAGGCGCAAGGCGAGGCGAGGTGCACTGCCTGCGACTAAACAGATACCAGGCGAGGCGCTTTTAGTTAGGCGCGCGCCTTAGCAGCGACTGGAACCAGGCGAGAGAGGCGCAAGGCTCTCACCTAGGCACGACTAATTGTTTAAGAGGTAGATCTGATCTAACGACTCAGATGAACCTTTCGAATGGCTCGTAATCACAGAGGATTACAACTCATGTACCATATGAGCCAAATACGACTCAGATGAACCCTAATCGAAGTCGTCTCTTCCTCTTTCGCCTAGCAATCGACTTCGACTGGGCTGCTGGAGCTGGACTTCGACTGCGACTGCGACACTGGACTTCGACTTCGGCTTCGCAGGTCTGTTCGACTTCGACTCTCTCTCCCCTTCTCCTTCTTCTTCGTCTTCGACTTTCAGTTCTGCTCTCTTTTTTTTCTTTTTTTTTTGGCCTTCGACTTCTTCAGTGCTCTGTTTTGCCTTCGACTCTTCCTCTCTCTCCTTCTTCAGTGCTCTGTTTTGCTTCCTTTTTTTTTCTTTTTTTTTCAATTATTTGAGTTGAGTCTTTGAAAAAAAATGTAAGAGAATAATTTACAAAAAAAATTACAAAAATTAGGAGAAAAAAAAATTATTTGTAATATGTAAGAGAAGAATTTATCTGTTAGGGACAAAAAATTACAAATAATTAATTATTTGTAATATGCTATTGATATTTTTTTTCCTTTATCTGTTAGGGAAAAAAAATTACAAATAATTAATTAATACAATGTGGTATTGGTCTTTTTTTTTCCTTTATCTGTTAGGGATTAAATTTGTTTTCCATTTATTCTTTTAATACAATTATTTTTCCATTTGTTAAATTTGTTGTGTAGAAAATGACATCGGAAAGTAATAGAAAAGATCCGGCGTGGCAATATGCCCATTTGGTAGAGGAGAATAATTTAAACAAGTTCGAGTGTAATTTTTGTGGTAAAGTATCAAATGGAGGTTTTTATCGGGTGAAACAACACCTCGCGGGAGGTTATAGGAATGTCACTGCTTGCCCGAAGTGTCCTTCTCATGTAAGAGACGAGATTAGAGAGTTCATGTCAAAAAAAAAGACACAAAAAGAACAAATGAACATGTTGTCTGATTTCGATGACATAGACATGGAAGATGAAGATGAAGATGAAGATGAAGATATCGTTGAGATCAATGTCAATCAACACCGTAAGTTGACAAGTAGTAGCCAAGGTTCATCCAAATCCAAATCAAAAATGCCAAAGAGAAAAGGGCCTATGGATGTTTACTTCACACCCAATCCTGAATCAGTGGTGAAAAATCGAAGAGACCAAGCAAAAGGGAAACAAACCAAAATTGATGCAAATGACCCTTACAAAAAAGAAATGAGAGCTCAGGCAATGCAAAGATTTGCAAGGTGGATGTATGATGCCGGTATCCCTTTTAATGCAGTAAATTATGAGAGTTTTGGACCAATGATTGAAGCCATCGGCCAACATGGTCCTGGTATAAAGCCACCGACTTATCATGAAGTGCGGGTTACCCAACTCAAAAAAGAAGTGAAACATACTGAAGATTTGATGAAGAATCATAAAGAGGATTGTGCAAAATACGGGTGTTCCATAATGGCTGATGGTTGGACTGATAAGAGAGGAAGGACATTGATTAATTTTTTAGTTAATTGTCTAAGAGGAACCACGTTTGTTGAATCGGTTGATGCGTCTAGCTATTCAAAGGATAGGCAAAAGCTATTTGAATTACTAGACAAGTTTGTGGAGAAAGTTGGAAAAGAAAATGTGGTGTAAGTTATCACTGATAGTGCTGCAGCTAATGTGTTGGCAGGTAAGAATATTTCTTCATTCCTTACATCAAAATTGTTTACTCATAGTTTGTTTTGTATTTAAAATTTAAAAATTTGAAAATAATAATTCTTCGTTATTGTTACATTATAGGGAGGTTTTTGGAAGCTAAGTATGAACACTTGTATTGGACACCATGTGCTGCTCATTGTTTGGACTTGATGTTAGAAGACATTTTCAAGATACCTAGACTGAAAAAGACATTTGAAAGGGGTATTGCAATACATGGCTACATTTACAATCGGCCTACGTTGCTAAACATGATGAGACGCTATACAAATTTGAAGAATTTGATCAAGCCTGCAAAAACTAGATTTGCAACCGCCTTTTTGACTTTGTCTAGGATGCATCAACAAAAAAACAATTTGAGAAAGATGGTCACCTCCGAAGACTGGACCTCAAGCAAATGGGCAAAGGAGCCACAAGGTAAAAGAATGGCACAAACTTTGTTGATGCCTTCATTTTGGAATACTGTTGTGTTTGCCCTTAAGGTCTCGGGTCCTTTTGTCAAAGTGCTTAGATTGGTTGATACCGAGAAGAAACCTCCCATGGGATACATTTATGAGGCAATGGATAGGACAAAAGAATGCATTGCAAGTTCATTTGATCATAAAGAAGAGAAGTATAACGAAATCTTCGAAATCATCGACAAAAGATGGGATGTCCAATTACATCGGCCTTTACATGCAGCTGCGCATTTTCCTAATCCAGAATTCTTTTACCCAAAAGCGTTAGAGGTGCAAAAAGATCATGAAGTGATGAATGGATTTTATGAATGCATGCAAAGGTTGGTCCCGGATGTCACTGTTCAAGATTTGATCACTAATGAGATGAGTATTTATATGAAGGCTGAGAGTCTTTTTGGCAAGGCTGTTGCAATTAGGCAAAGAAATACAAGAGCACCAGGTAATATATTATAGACTCATAGAGTTTATTTTTAGTAATACTTTTAGTAAAACTCAATACTTGGTAACAGCTATTTCTAACTAATGATTATCGCAGCTGATTGGTGGGCATATGGTTCTAAAACTCCAAACTTGCAAACTTTTGCCATAAAAGTCCTTAGCCTAACATGTAGTTCATCGGGTTGTGAACGAAATTGGAGTGTATTCGAACATGTGAGTATTTAACATTCTAACTAATTTTTTGTTCAATTCAAATATTTTTTATTTTCATTATATAGAATTTAATATCGTTTTAATACTTGCAGCATCATAGCAAGAAAAGAAATAGATTGGAACAACAACGTCTCAATGATTTAGTGTATGTCAAATACAATAGAACATTGAGATTTAGGTATGACATGCGCAACACTCTTGATCTCATATCTTTCCAAAATATTAATGAAAGCAATGAGTGGTTGCTTGGGAGGATGGATGGAGAATCAGATGAAGATAATGAGCATGTGTTTGATGATGATGATGGCTTGACGTGGGCCACTGTTGCTAGAGCTTTTGGAGTAGAAGAAAATAGCCATGCAAGTAGAGCAACAAGTTCACGCTCAAAGGCACAACCGAGTATATCTAAATCATCAACATTGACTCCACTTCAATTAATAGATGAAGAGGAAGCGGACTCAGATGACACAGAGGAGGAAGATGTTGAGGGATATAAATCAACTGATGGAGAAAAAGATGTTGCCATTGATGTTGAGGATGATGATTGACTGACACCGACCTAACCTACCCTTTCTTTTGATATTGATGTTTTTAAGTGTTAAGACGTATATTAGTATTTGTTGGATATTTATGTTTTGGATATAGTGTTAAGGTTTTATTTTTATTTTATTGAATGTGGATTATTTGATCTTTGAAAATTGAAATGTTATGTAATATGCACTTTCATGGCTTTGAGAATTATTCTATATTTTGTCTTGAATCTTGATTACTTTTTATTTTTTAAAAAATTGTCTTAGTACTATGAATGATTAGTCTATATTAATTTTTCTATTTTTTACGAAGACTGTGCGCCTTACTTCCATAAAACCCGCTCCTCGCCTTGCGCCTAGGCCCCGAGGGACCTTCAGCGCCTTAGTATGCCTTGAGCCTTTAAAAACACTAATTAGACCAGTGATGTTATATGGGTCAGAATGTTAGGCAACTAAGAAAAAACATGTAAATAAGATGAGTGTTGCTGAGATGAAAATGCTAAGGTGGATGTGTGGCAAGACCAGAAAAAATAAAGTTAGGAATAAGTATATTCAAAATGGATAAGGGTAGTACTGATAGAAAATAAGTTGAAAGAGAATAGATTGAGATGGTTTGATCATATACAACAGAAACTAACAGAGGCAGTAGTGAAACGATGCGATATAGTGACAGTAGAAGGAAGGGCTTGGGGAAGGAGTAAATCTAGATTGACGTGGGCTAGTGTAGTAAATAGAGACATGAACCTCCTTAATTTGACTAACAAATAGCCTTGGATAGAGTCGAGTAGAGAAGAATAATTCATATAATTGATCCTATTTGATGGGACTTAAGGCTTGGTTTAATTTGATTTGGTTATTACATGGGTCAGGTCAGTCAGACCCAATGGTTTCACCACTTATGCACACCTTTTAAAAAATTTTAGGTTTCAAAAGAAAGGACTTCATTTAATTCTTTCTTCCTGTTAGACTCTATATAGGATTCTTAGGTCCATTTTTTTTTATTTTGTTGGCACCGGATGTCCGGATCAAAGCCCGACTAATCCCCAGCGGTGTACATGCCCTCGGGTATGGAGTTTCTCGTAAGTGCACCACGGCTAATTTAAGGGATTTTTCCCCAGTCCGATGGCCCCAAGGAATTGTTAGCACCTAAGAAATATCGATCCCTAAAACCTTGAAGGAAACACACCCCCAAGACCCAAAGCCTTGCCATCAGGCCAACTTTTGAGGTTATTCTTAGGTCCATTTTTTGAATATCAAGAGAGATTATATTATGATTTTTGAATAATTTTACCGTTAGGGGAATTTTAAATCACATCTCTTACTATGAAGACAATGCCTTCCGAATTAAATGGTGCAACCATATCCTTATATAAGAACAATTTTATTCCATTCTTTAATATTTTAATATTTTTCAT